CTCTCCCTCCCCTCTCCCAGAGGCTCCTGGTAAGCCCCCTACCCACTTGTCAACCTCTCCTGGCAAACATGGGCCCTGCCCATGCCCTCAAAACACTTGGCGGGCGCCAGAAAAAGTGTCAGCGAGCACCACCGCTTTAAGCTGTGCACAGGGAAGAGTCCGATAATGGCAAAGTGATGCCACTACAGGGCGATAAAAGCTTCACGTCCTGAAAGTCCACGGGAGCCCTATCATCCTTTGCACCCAGCCACTATAAATGCTAAGTAGGGTTTCTCCTTGCTCGAAAGCCAGTCGAATCCGACTCTAGGGTTGTGGTGCTCATTTCCGTTTCCAAGCCAAAGAGCGAGACGTTTCCATGGTCATGTGGCCGGCATGACTAAACACCGAGGCATACAGAACGCTGTTCCCTTCCCACCAAAGTGGTGCCTATTTATCTACTTGCAATTTCTTGCTTTCGAACTGCTAGGATGGCAGGAGCTGGGGCCAGAGACGGGAGCTCACTTCATCACGCGGCACTCGGGTCTCGAACTGCCAAACCACTGACCTTCTGGTCTGCAGCTCAGCATCTTAACCTCTGAGCCTCTTGGTGTTCAGTCATGCCGGCCACATGACCACGGAAATGTCTTCGGACAGCGCTGGCTCTTTGGCTTGGAAATGGAGATGAGCACCGCAACCCTAGAGTCGGATTCGACTGGCTTTCGAGCAAGGGAAACTTTTGACAGAAACTGCTCTTTTTTTCAAGAACAGCTCTGAGAGAATTTATGACTGACCCAAGGTCACACCAGCAGCTGCATGTGGAGGAGTGGGGAATCAAACCCAGTTCTCCCAGATTAGAGTCCGCGCACTTAACCACGACACCAAAAATACCCCAGGCTTTATGCATGGAAATGTGCAGATGAAGGTTTTCATGGAATGGAGGTAAATGACATAATCTGATCACAAAAATGCCCCACCAAGCCTCTGTTAACGGGATAGGAGGACACTGTTTTCTCCAGCATGTTGGCAGCTCTACCTGCTCATGCTTCAGATATATCATTCCCTGTGGCTGCTGGCAGTTGGGAAAACTCAAAGGAATAACTGGATTTCGCTCGTATTTCTAATTCACATGACTCCTCTCAGATTATTAGACTACATTTCGGCTAAAGATGAGAGGGAATGTTCTCTCTTCTATTTTCAGAAGACTATGGTGTGCCAAAAATGTATACTGCCCCGCTGGTGTGTTTTCCTGTTATCAGCACTGCCACTTTTGGAATAAGGCGTGGGAAATGAATGCTTGTTCAGACATCAGACGCCAAAAAAGATAATTGAGGGAGGCAGCTCTAAATACAGAAACAGGACTTGCGCCATGGCCAAGAGAAGATGGATGAATGGACTTCTCTGGCCCCACATCTCCCCGCCGTGAGGCTACGAAAGGCCTGCCCGGCTGATTCCTCATGGCAGGAATGTTCTTCGTATTGCTGGGAGAGTTGCTAACCTCAAGATGGTCTAGAATAAATAAATGGAAGTACAGCAAAGCGGGTCGTGCCCGTAACAACACAGTCAAAGACTGTAACACTGTACCCCAAAACACTTGACACTTGATTCAAAACATTCTTTTTTTAAAAAAATGCTTTTTATTGCTTTTCTTCCTACACACTACAAAGACTGTACCCTACAAAACTAAAACTACAAAGAGAGTATCAAGAACCTTTGATAGGCTAATAAAATGCTTTTATATGTCTACATGCTAAAAATTTCACTCAATTCTTTAAAGTCTAATAAAAGTGTTTAAAAAGAAAGAACATAAAAGCATTTTTGATATTACATCACATCTGGTTGAGAATATAAGTAAGTTAAATGTCAACATAGGTAATCTCAGATCTTCACTTAGATTTCTTCTTAGCTTTGGTTTTCTTCTTCTTTTGCCAGGGGAGATTTACTTTAAAAGTTTTAGGGGCCGCAGCTCCTAAATCCAAATCTGAGTCAGAGTCAAAGATTTCACCCAAAGACATGGAAGTAGCTGTAGAAGATGAACTATCCGTATCGGATTTCTATTGTTCGCTGTTTTTCCCCGTTGCCTTTTCTTCCTCTGCTCCATTTCTTTGTTTGGTTGAAGATTGTTGCTGTTTAAGAAAGAGTTCTGCTTTTAATAGAGAGTCAATTTTTTCCTTCTTCTCCTTAAAGTTGAATATAAGTCCTTCTGGAAAAATCCATCTGTATTGGACATTGTTCTTTTGGAGGAATTCTGTAATATGATTCAAAACAGTGTAGTAGTCTAAATAAAGGAGCTGCAGTGGCTCAAGTGGTTAAGACGCTGAACTGCAGGCTGTGGAAGGTCAGTAGTTCAGCAGTTCGAGACCCAAGTGTGCCGCATGACGGAGTGAGCGCCTGTTTCTAGTTCCAGCTCCTGCCAACCTAGCAGTTCGAAAGCAAGATAAATAGGTACCACTTCGGTGGGAAGGTAACAGCATTCCGTGCGTCTTGGTGTTTAGTCATGCCGGCCACATGACCATGGAAACGTCTTCAGACAGCGCTGGCTCTTCAGCTTTGAAATGGAGATGAGCACTGCAACCCTAGAGTCGGATTCGACTGGCTTTTGAGCAAGGGAACCTTTACCTTTACTCTAAATAACCATTCAGATCCATTCTGAAGACACCAGTGTCAATAGTCCAATACAGTTCAACAAATTCCTAACAGCTGATAAAAGTCCACAAAACTAAGAGAAGTAACAGTTGACAGATGTCCACAAAACACAGTGGCTAAGAGGTGTGGCGACAGATCGCCAGGTTCCCATCCCTTTCCTTTCAGGACTTCGTCAGGCCACCTCCAGCAATGGAGCACCAAGCCCTACCTATTTCTCTTGCCCGTCTACAGCAGTCTATATCTATTCCAACCGGCTTGTTAGGAATTTGTTGAACTGCATTGGACTATTCACACTGGTGTCTTCGGAATGGATCTGGATGACTATTTAAAGTACTACACTGTTAATATAAGAATGTTTTGAAACGAGTGTCAAGTGTTTTTGGGTACGGTGTTACAGTCTTTGACTGTGTTGTTATACGCACAACCTCCAGATGGTGACTGGAGATCTCCGGGAATTAGAATTGATCTCCCAACGAAAGAGACTGATGTCCCCCTCCTACCCAAGCCCTGCCTTCCCCAGGTCCCAACCTCAAATAGCCAGGAATTTACCAGTCTGGAGTTGTCAACCCTAACTTATTGCTCCCATATTGCTTTGACAATGCAGAGGCATGTGCACGGACAATGGAGCTTCCACGTAAGGGTTTTTTTGTGCATTCTTTTTACATTTTACTTTTTTATTTAATTCATTTTTACCCTGTCCTTCTCCCCCAATGGGGACCCAAAGCGGATTTCTCCTCTCCTCCCTTTTATTCCCACAACAGCCCTGTGAGATTGGTTAGGCTGAGAGAGTGTGACTGGTCCAAGGACACCCAGTAAGATTCCATGGCAAACATGGGGATTCGACCCTGGGTCTCCCAGATAGTAGCTTAACATTTTTAACCACTACACCACACTGTCTCCATTTGGTGTAGTGCTTAGGAGCGCGGGCTTTAATCTGGGAGAACCAGGTTGGATTCCCCACTCCTTCACATGCAGCTGCTGGAGTGACCTTGGGTCAGTCATGAGTTCTCTCAGAGCTGTTCTCTCACGAGCTCTCTCAGCCCCACCCACCTCCCAGGATGTCTGTTGTGGGAAGAGGAAGGGAAGGAGTTTGTAAGCCACTCTGAGACTCCTTTGGAAAGTGAAGGGGGGTATAAATCCAGTCTCTTCTCTCTTCTTCGTCTTCTCTCTCTCAGTGTGATCAATAATTGTATTGTTGTTTTTATATTGCAGTCTTTTTTTTTTAAAACCCTTATTACTGTTCGGTTCTTTGAGAACCATTGGTTACAAGGACAAAATATAAATAATTACTAGGGCTATTTTTGGGCAGGAACGCACAGGAACGGAGTTCCGGCTGGCTCCTGAGTTGGCCACGCCCAGCAGGAACTCATTAGCATAGTAGGACACACCCAATAGCAGAAACTCATTAGCATAACAGGACACACCCAATAGCAGAAACTCATTAG